AAACAAACATGAAATGTTTTGTTCCAATTCAGGCGATCCAGTCTATACTTATATGCTGTGCGCATCACATAGTAAATCTAGGCTAATAACCGGAATAAGAACACACAATGTTTTCAAAAATAGATATCATGGTTAGTAGAGGCCGATCTTTGATCGGGCGAGCGGGGGTGCTCACGAAGTGACCTTCCCCGATCGTACCCAAGTTCCCAAGCCGAGGCAACTTTGGTGATGACGGACGCGTGGCCTTAGGCAACGAGTCAGGGTTTCCTAAATTTCTCCAAAAACAAAATATTTAGGTGGCGACTCAGTATCTGGCAAAGCAGTCCATATTTGGCACTTCTTTCAAAAAAATCTGTTTTCAAAAACGATTTGCCGGATTTGGACTCTTTGATGACTCATCGGTCTTGCATCGCACTCTGCGAGATTAGATACAGGACCGTGACTTCGAGTCCTGAACTGTAGTGAGCCCAATGAACAAAACGAGGGATCTCCTCCCGGGACGTTCGAGGACCTCTACAGGTGCAGGACCTGTTATTGCTCGACGTCACACTTTTTTCCCTTGGTTTGAAGACCGCAAGAGGAGTTATGACTGTTTTGATTCCAAGAAACACAACAATTCCAACCAAGAAAGAGCAAGTGTTCTCTACGTACTCTAATAACCAACCTGGCGTTTTAATTCAAGTCTACGAGGGTGAGAGAACCAGGACCAAAGACAACAACTTGTTGGGAAAATTTGAGCGCACAGGCATTCCTCCAGCTCCCGAGGTGTCCTTCAAATCAACGTCTGTTTTGACATTGATGCCAATGGTATTTTGAATGTCTCTGCTGAGGACAAAACTACAGGGCAGAAGAACAAAATAACCATCACCAACGACAAGGTTCGGCTGTTGAAGGAGGAGATTGAGAAGATGGTGCAAGAGGCTGAGAAGTACAAGTCCGAAGATGAGGAGCACAAGAAGAAGGTGGAAGCGAAGAATGCATTGGAGAATTATGCGTACAATATAAGGAACACGATTAAGGATGAAAAGATTAGCACGAAGCTTTCGCCCGCTGACAAGAAGAAGATTGAAGATGCAATTGATCAGGCAATTCACTGGCTGGATGCAAACCAGCTTGCTGAGGCGGATGAATTTGAGGACAAGGTGAAGGAGTTGGAGAGAATTTGTAATCCGATAATCGCCAAGATGTACCAGGGTGCTGGTGGTGGTGACATGGGTGGAGCCATGGATGAGGATGGTCCTTCCGGTGGCAGCGGTGCTGGGCTAAAGATCGAGGAAGTGGATTAAAATGGTGGCTCTTCAGTCTGAAATACCAGCCATACGCCCTTTTGTCTTGTTGAAGCTAATGTAATATGTGAAGCCCTAGGTTACCTGTTTTGTTTTGGTTATTTGGTAGTATATAATGCAATTTTTTTTTTTTAAGCTTGGGTCTTTGCCTGAGATTAGATTTGCAAATGAAATATTCTGGAGTCTTTGTCAATCTTCTCTTTTATTGCTAAATGAACAAGGGAATCGCTTTCCTGTGGCAGGCAGTTTGCTCAATACTAGGGAATGGTTTTTTTTAAACTTGGGTCTTTGCGTGAGAAAAATTGCTCTGCCTTGTTTGTTAATTTTCTAATATAATGACTTAGAGCTACCGGAAGAAAAAGTTATCCGAATGTAGGGTTCTGTTTAGATAGATGAAATTTAAATGTTAAAATCTGAGGTTGAAGTTCGGATGAAAATAAAAGGGAATGTAAAAAATTTAAGTGGTCACAGCTGAAAATTACACTTGAAAATCTCAAAATAAGAGGGAATATATATATTATGATTATAGGTAAATATATATTTTTAATAAATAGTATATATGAAAAATTTTATAGAATTTAAATAATTACAATGAGATTTATATGAATCCTAATATGATGATCAAATTTATACTTTAAACTCATAAAAAATTCAATTTATGAGAATCTCAAAGCAATCTCGCAAGTCTTAACAACACCACTCTAATCTAATAGTGAACAGAAAAGAATCCCTTCCTACCTATATGTTCATAGAAAGTCAGTGAACCCAGAAAAATGGCCCACATGTATTTTCCTGGACATTTTTCTAAAACATATTTAAACCAAAAGAAATTTAGATATAAAAAATCTAGCGCATCTAAAAAGGGAAAAGGAGGATGTTAAAAACCCATGAAACCATGTACACCAAAACAAAGACCCGCAACCAAATCCATCCCTACAACGCACTGTTCCGAAACAACAAAAGAGAAACAACCCTCCTCAACACACCCCCAAAAATCCACACCCCAAATTCACTTACAACAACCCAATTAGTAGTAAAATCCTCTCTTACATAACCAATTAGTGCATGGGTTAGTGCAAAAAAACCATCTTAACAATTAGCATTCAATTCAATCACTCTCATAATTTCCATTATTTCCAGAAAAGAAATCAATGAAAGGTTGATCACCAAAACCACCTTCTTCAATGCCTGTAGTGTCCGAGGAGCTCGAAGGAGTAGCAGTGGAATTCTCAGCAGAGGTCGAAGCTAGAGAAGAGCTTGTTGTTCTTGCTTGCAAAATGCCGGTAGGCTCCAGTGGAAACAGAGGCAAGGTTTCTTGTTTGGAGTTAGAGTTATTATCACCGGTGATCAAACCATCGTGATCAGTGGTATTGTAACTCAACGGTGCAGATTCAATGCCCACACCGCCACCAGAAGTTTTCATATTCTCCACTGTATCTGGCCTTGCTGGTTTTCGCTTGATGCCACCGGGTAGAAGCACCTTGGGGTAGTGTGGGTAGAACCCTAATTCGTTTTGTGGTAGGTAATATGGTGGGCTGCAAACAACTGAGAACCACAATTTTATGGTAGATGAAATAAGTTCAACTATCAAGTAAAAATTCAATACAACAATGGTGATATTAAGTCATCGTTAACCTTTGGTAGTATCGTTCAAACATAATTTATTTATATCTATACTATCTATCTATACTTCTATATACTATACTATAATATATAGCAAATGTATTGAAATAAAAAAAAATTCTAAACTCTTAATATTAAACTTTTACGAATTCTCTCTCCTATGTATCACCTTTGAAGGCTCTCCTCCCACCTTTTCTAATTTTTAATCATATGTTAATTATCTAAATCTCAAAAGGCAAAAAAATTATATATATTTAAATATAAAATGATAACTATTTAAATATAAACAACAAATATTTAGATATGAAGAACAAAGAAGTAGAAATAAAAACAAAAAAATAAAATAAAATAAAAATATAACTATTCAAATGTCAACCAATAATATAAAGAGACAAATAAAATATTAAAAAATAACTAAATAAAAAATATTATAAGCCAATTAATTTTAAAAATAAAAAGTTAACTATTTATATATGAACAATTAAAAAATATTTAAATAAAAAAATTCAAATAATTTTTAAAATAAAAAGATAATTATTTATATATGAACAACAACAAAATAGAGTTTAAAATATATACAAAAAAAAATATAACTATTTAGATTTGAATTGAAAAATAAAAGTTCAAATAAAAGGTAAAAAAAAAATATTTAAATAAAAAATATTAAGATCAAGATATAAATTCCAAAAATATAATAAATTTTTTAACGATCTATATTTACCTTATGTGAGTTTGTTGTAGAATTCTCATATATTTCGGCTTAATTTTTTTAAAATTTATCTTCAAGTTAAACTTAATATTTTATCTTTTAAAATCATTTATTAATTATCCATATAAATTTTAAATATAATAAAATTCCATAAATAAAATATAAAAACATTTAAATAAAAAAAAATTAAGATTGAGATATAAATCTCAAAAAGATGATAAATTTTTTAATATAAATCTCAAAAAATGATAAATTTTATGATGATCTATATTTACTTTTTGTGAGTTTGTTGTAGAATTTTCATATATTTCAGCTTAATCCTTTTAATTTTTAAAATAAAAAGATAACTATTGATATATGAATAACAAAAAACTTGAGATGAAAAAAATATACAAAAATATCAATATAAATATAAATATTTAGATTTGAACTGCAAAATGAAAATTCGAATAAAAGATAACAAAATATTTAAATAAAAAATATAAAGATTGGATATAAATATCCAAAAAGATAATAATTTTTTTAAAGATCTATATTTATCTTTTGTTGGTTTGTTATAGAATTTCCATATATTTTAGCTTAATCTTTTTAAAGTTTATCTTCAAGTTGAACTTAATATTTTATCTTTTAAAATTAACAATTAATTATCCATGTAAATTTTAAATATGATAGAATTGCATATATATCTTTTGTCTAAGCATTATATTTTCAATATAGAAACAAGTTTCTGCAAAAAGAACCATAAACAGAAGATTGGAGGGGGAAAACAATCAACATTGAGTCATTTCTGATCCCTACCTAAAAATCTTAAATATTTGTTTTACGTTTGAAATGTGTATTTGCATGAGTTTTTGCATTTGTGATAAAGTGAGTTTATGTAAATGGATATTATTACTTTATTTTTAAATTTTTTTGTTACAATCTGTATTTTTCTTTATTTCTTTCTTTTTGCTAAAAATGTGTCATTTAATTGAGATTATATTCTCTCTTCTTCTTCTTCTTCTTCTTCTTCTTCTTCTTGACTATTTGTATTTAATTTTTTTTTTTTTTTTGGTGCACATGTTAGATTGAAAATGAAGAACACATCAAAATTTATTGGATATGGATTTATACTTTAAATGTATTAATCAGTTGATTTTTTTATTGTTACTATTGAAATAACTCATTATTAAATTTATTTTCAGAACTCATTTCTTTTGAGAACTAAGCCACAAATTTCTTCTATTTTTAAAAAAAAAAATTATTCAAATTTAGAGTTTGAGCAAATGGAAGAGATCTCATATTAAAAATGTTTTTTTTTTTTGAATAATTTAAATAATTATATTATTTATGTTTGTCAATTCGACTTTAATGCATTTCCAAACCTTTTTTTTTTTTTATCATTCCAAACCTATTTATGTTTAATGAATCAATATAACCAAAAAACAAATAGCTTGTAAAAAATTTTAAACCACTAACTAAATATAATGGGAATTAAAATTAAATTTATTTTAATTCATTATACTATGTGGAATGATTAATGTAATATCTACTATTGATTAAACAAAATTAGTATTCTTTTATTTAATATTAGTCATTTTGACTAATTATAATATGCCTTTGTTACCTTACTTTTGACTGTCTGAAATAATTTTTAGATAAATTAACTATTATTTATGTGATAATTTACTTAAGGTATGATAGTTTTTTTTTAAATTTTAATATTGTGAAATAAATATTTTTAATATTGTGAAGTAAAATTTATATGCACAAGCTAAATAAAAATATTAAAAAATACAATTAAATAATAATTTTTTTAATTATTATTGACTTTTTAAATCCCGTCACATGAGTGGCCACTAGTATATTATATAAGAAAGTTAATCTCACTGTTCGATGATAACTATCCTATCCAACTCATCCTACTAACTGATACATATGTGTAGTGGCCATCAATGCACATATATGGGAGCCAACTATTGATTTGTTATTCTATGTCACCTAAACGACACGATATAATCGTTTTATTTGTTTTGTTTTTTTTTTTTTTTTTTTTTTGTCAAGAGTAGCTGACTGAAAAAGGAAACAATAATCTATTAGAATGACTATATTTGTTCTTTTTTTTTTAATATTTGATTTATCATATAATAAACTAAATGTGATTAACGTCATTCAAAAGCAAAACATTGAAAGATGGACATGCAAGCAAGTTAATGGGAGAAAAAAAATGATAGTATGGTAGTACAAATAGAATCATAGAATTTTCCAAAAGAATGAAATTATCACTTCGAAGGGCAATGTAATATATTAAATGATGTCCATTTATGTATGTTTCCTCATTTTTGGATACAAGGACAATACTGGCGAATATCAAAGAAATGATAAACTTCATAGTCTTACTAAAAACATTAACAAAAAAATAATAATAATAATAATAATAATAATAATAATACACACAAAAAAAAAAATATTACTTATGTAGAAAATGATGTGATAGAATTATGGGCTTATCACTTCAAAAAAAATTTTAAAAAAAAAATTAAGATGTTTCTTAGTATAAAAAATTGACATTCTAAGGAATTCTATATAAAAATATGTGGAGAAAAATATATATATATATATATATATATCAAAAAAACCAAAATTTGAATATGTGTTATAGATTTAAATTTAATATAACCTGATCTACACAAAAAATTGATCCATGATTTTCAAGTTTTGGATTTTTTTGAGTATTTTTCAGTACATATTGTACAAATATATAGCACATAGAGGATTTAAAACACAAGCGGCCAAACGTTTATTTTATGAATAAAAGAATCATTTTGGATATAATTTACACAATACTAAATTTGAATTTAGATTTTTTTTGGTGTAATTTTATATGCACATTTTCTTCTCGAAAGAAAATAACCCAAAGTGATAGAAGCAATTACAAAGGAGATCTTAGCCAGAAAACAACAGCACCAGCAAACTTCAGTCCTATTCAATGCAAACATGCTTTTAGTATAATTTTATTTTTTAATTCACAAATGATCTCGATCCAAATCCTAGATAGGTAACAAACAACAGGAATGGGACAGTTTTAGGTTATATTTTTAGTCCTTGTCACTTATCTAGCCGCAATGCATGAACATACATGGCTAATATATGTCTGCAGACTCTATGTATTAAACTATATAACACAAACTACAACAAATCCCAATTTATTCGTATCATATACATACATATATAAACAAAAGTATATCTGCTCTTTTATACAAAAGCACACAAATCATAATATGCCTTCAAACGATGTTACATAAATTATCCTTATGCAACTATCCAGGATTTTTATTTAGATTTCTTCAGTTATTCTTTCTTTCAATAAACAATTCAATTTTTTTTCTTCATATGACAATTATAATGTTGTCTTTTCACGCCCATCTTGTGTGTCTGCATACCCTTCTAATATATATTAACGATTGGTGCAAACATGATGCATTTTTATGATTATATTTCTAAATTTTTATAATTTGATGTATGGAGAATACATGTTGATTTTGATAATTGTTAGAAGATATTTTTTTAGAAGAAATTAACAAATATGAATAATTTTGGGAAATTTTTTTTATAAAATTTCAAAATCTTCTGCTTTTAAATAACCATAATACTATAGATCTAAACTTATTCATTCACATTTTTCTAATTAGAATATTTGTGTGATGGAAATTGAATTAGTATAGTATAAGTTCAAGTATGAAATAAATTTAAGTCATAGAATGTTGTTTTCAGTAAAATTTCTGGGACCGTAGTATTACTGTTTAAATAATATTATAGATGGTAAATATATTCATATAAAAAGTATTGCATATATATATATATAGAAAGAAGCACCAACCATTAGGGCAAGGAGGAGGAAAAACATTGGAAGCCTTGTGGAGATAGCGATTGAAATAAGCCAAGCTCTCTTGCTTCTGTTTTTGTCTCTGCCTAGCCTTGTGATTCTGAAACCAATAAAACACGTTCTTGCCTTCTATGTGACCAAAGCTCTTGAGTCTACCAGTGATCTGTTGTATCTGCTCTGCAGTGGGAGTCCTAATACCTTGCTTATACAAGTTCTCCAAAATAGTTATTTGTTCCTTCGTCGGATTCCACCGTGAACTTGCCGGAGTAGCTCCGCCGGAAGTTGACACGTCAACCACCGCGCTCTCACTACCACCCTCCATCTTCATTCACAAGGGTTTTGGGGTAAAATCAAAAACCAAGAAAATATTGATGGTTGGTTTACTTTTTTTGCATGGTTTTTGTAGTCATTTGGGAGAGAGAGAGAGAGAGTCAAAAGGGTAGTGAGAGAGAGAGAGAGAGAGAGAGGAGAACTTGACATGCGTATAGATTTTGGTGCAGAACATCTCTGAAAACATGGCGGGTAGCGGCTGAGTGAAGCCGGGTTTCGTCGTCGTCCGCATGCCACTGAAGTTGAAAAGACCATCATACCCCTTCTACTGGTTCTTACTCTTGTTGACTGCATGTGACTTTGGTCTTTTACTTTAAATTGATTGAGGAATGTTAAATAAATTAATATTTTTTTTAATATAACACCTATCATGTACTTTGTTAAAATAGAGTAAGGATCCTCTAGAGTGATTTTTTTCTAAAATTTCCTAAAGTGCTACAGTGTATGGTTGAGATTTACTGGCAAGTCACATCAATTTTTCTGATGTGACTTGCCAGTAAATCTCAACCACACAATATAGCACTCTAGAAAACTTTAGAAAAATTTCACTCTAGAGGATCCTTGGTGGTTAAAATAAGTATGTTATTATCTATATATTTTCAACTATTAAAATATATATGAAAAGAGTTGTTGAGGCGGATATATTGACCGAAATCCATTAATATGTTTTGATTTCAATTTTTGTAAAACTTTGAGCTTATTTAGTTTTTTTTTTTTTTTTTGGTTTTTTTTTAAGTAAGAAGTTAACAATCAAGAAGTAAAAGTCATAAAAAATCATTTTTTATACATTTTTAATTTATTGAAATTATATATCATATGTTAAAATTGCATCAAATATTCAAATAGACTCCTTTAATTAAAAACTATAAGTAACTTCAAAAATTACATTAAACATGCCCTTTATAGCGCTGTGCATAAACTAATTAAAATAATTCACGCTGTGAATTTTATTTTGCCAAGACAATTATTTTTTAAAAAAATATTTAAGTACATAAATTTTGAAACAAGATTTGATGATTGATCTATGTTGATGCAAAAAGAAAAAAACATTTAAAGACACCGTTAAAATATCTTTTCAGATTTTAGATAACAATTTTTTATTTTTTAGAACCCAGATAATAAAATTTTATACTCACATTATACATCAATTAATAAAGCAATAATAAAAATTATTAATAATTTTTTCATAAATAATAAAATCTCGGGAATGACAGAGAGAGAGAGAGAGAGAGAGAGAGAGAGTTCTGAGAGTCCAGGTTACGTTAGGCCAAAGGGAGGGTAAAATGGTCCAAAAGAAGAAAAAGACAGCCGGTTGGGTTGTAAGGTGTAGGGTAGGGGGGTGGGGCTAGGCTTTGGAAATTGAAGTGAGAGAGAGAGAGAGAGAGGCAGATATTGGCTATATTAACAAACAAGAAGAAGTTTAAAGGTCGAGTCCAGTGGAGATGAGGTGGGGTGAGAGCCCTTTTGTCTTGTGGTTTGGGGTTGAATTGGGAATTGATTTGTCTTTCAATCATATCATAACAAAGATTGGGGCACAGAGATTGACAAATCTCCCATTTCGTATATCTTGTTTCTTTACCTCCACTCGAAATTAAATTAAATACAGATTGGTTGAACTTTTTACAAGTCAATTTAAATTTGAGAAAATTGTAGGTCTTTGCTGATTTTATTTGGAGTTTTATTTTGATAATTTAAATTACTTATTTTATAAATTTTTTTATGTATATTATTCATGATAAAAATTAAATTAATTTGATAATTGTAATTTTTGTATTTTATGGTGCTTTCAAAAAAAAAATTGATAATACATTTCTAAAAGTAAACGTGATAAAATGAAATATTATGGTTATTTGATTATTTTAATTTTTTTCCATAGATGATATACATTGATAATTCTACAAAATTAAAAATTCAGGTCATCCAAATAAGACTTAAGTGCGCCTCATCGGTCGTCAAATTATTTATGTGTCCTTAAGGCATGTTTGATTGGATGGATTAGAGTATGGAATTGGAATTATTAATCCATGAGCCCAATTATCCTAGGTTTGTTTTAACATTTTGCTTTAAGATTATTAATCCAACGGATAATTAATCCAACAAATTTGTAGGATTATTAGTAATGGAGTAGGGGTGAGATTATTAATCCAATGGATAATTTATCCGATTAATCCAATTGGATAGTAAATACCACACTAATTTGATAGGATTATTAATACCTCACTATTAGGGGTGCAACTCAGACGGGCTCAACCTGAGCAACTCGAACCCAGCTCGATTTTTTTTAGGGCTTGAATAAGATATTTTCAAATTCGGTATAGGTTTAGGCAAAAATTCAGAAACCCGAATTAAATTTGGACGGACTTGGGCAAAAACGTCAAACAACCCGAGCAACCCGAAGCCCAAATTATACATATATAGATATATAAAAATGCATATAAATTATTAGCTATTACATGATATTAAAGTAATTTAGATTATTAAATCATATTGAATATATATTATATATACAAATAATATAAAATCGTACTCTCTTTTTTTTTTTCACTTATAAATTGTAAAGACCATAGCGGCATCTCTCTTATATTGTATAAATTATTTGTTTTAATGGTATTAATGATTTTCTATAATTAAAAAAATGTAAATAGAGTCAATTTTTAATAATTTAATAATGCAACTGCAAAAAAAAAAATTAAAATAAAATTGAAATTCATTTACAATTCAAGAAACTCAGGCAATTCGAGTTTAACTCGGATCGAGTTTCGGTATGTAAACTCGAGTTACAATTCGGGCTTGGGTGTGCTAGGGTAGGTCTCAGTACAACTTGAGCTGGGCTTGGACAACCTCTCAACCCAATCGAACCCGCTCAAGTTGCACCCCTACTCACTATTAGTCTTGTAAATCAAACATGGCCTTAGAGTACAGGTTAAGAGAATGTCATTTGAGATAGGTCAAGTTTGGCATCTCTCCAAAAAGATAAAAAACCAAAAAGTTATTCAAAAAAGTTAAAAAGTTATTACTATTTAACAAAAAAAAATATTAAAAAATTAATTTTTCACACATCCATACAACTCAGCAATCATGTATGTTTAGCGCTCTGCAGCATTTGTTAAGAAAAATTACACAGTTTGGGTGTAATTTTCACACATTGTTGTTCGGCCCATGAAGGCCCATCACGCGTCCCGTTTTGATAATCTGAATTGTTCAATGTGTAAAACTCGTTGAGTACTATATGTTTGTAAAAAATCACATTGATTGGATATCGATAATTACATGATCAAATCAGTTTTGTATAAAAAAATGATGGTGTTGTAATTAATGATTGAAAAAAAACAAATCTGATTAGATAGCTATCGATATCCGATCAACGTGAATTTTTATAAACATATAATACTCGACGAGTTCTATACATTGAACGGCTCAGATTATCAAAATGGGACCCGTGATGGCCCCCACGGGCCGAACAAAAATATCCAGTGCAATGCCCGAAAAGTAACCAATAATTTCTTACCATCAATTCAGCTGTGCAAATTGTACGGCTGTGCAAATTGTACGGCTGTACAACATGCATCTCTAATTTTCTCTTACACACTTCTTTATACAATTTTTTAATACACATTTTTTCATAAAAAAGTCAAAAAGTTAACCCAAGCATCTATATTTTTTTCTCAATTTTTTAGTCTAAAAAGACAAAAAGTGCACTTATTTAAAACACCCCAAACAACCCTTAATCTCTTTTTTTTTTTAATTTTTGTTAAGTGTATGAAAAAAAAATGTTCATAAATGGTGTGTTTGACTTTTTTTTAGTGACTTAACAAATTTTGATTTTTTTAGTGACTTAATAAATTTTAATTTTTTTAATAGTTTTTAACTTTAAAAAAAAAAAACTTTTTGAAAAAAAAAAAATTTTGATAAATGAGGCCATAGTAAAAGGACTCTGATTCTTTATGTGGATTGGACAATGTTGTTCGAGTCTATGAAACTCACCACGAGTCATGTTTCAATAATGTAAACTGTAAAACTCGTCAATTATTTCATTTTTTCAAAAAATCACATTGATCAAATATCAATAGTTACTTGATCAAATCAGATTTCTGTCAATAATTTATTTTAAGAATCATATTTACCGTTGACAGAAATATGATTTGATACTTTAAAAAAAAAAAACTTTTTGAAAAAAAAAAAATTTTGATAAATGAGGCCATAGTAAAAGGACTCTGATTCTTTATGTGGATTGGACAATGTTGTTCGAGTCTATGAAACTCACCACGAGTCATGTTTCAATAATGTAAACTGTAAAACTCGTCAATTATTTCATTTTTTCAAAAAATCACATTGATCAAATATCAATAGTTACTTGATCAGATCAGATTTCTGTCAATGATTTATTTTAAGAATCATATTTACCGTTGACAAAAATATGATTTGATCAAGTGGCTATCAATATTCAATTAACATAATTTTTTACAGGAATGAAATACACAACGAATTCTACATATTCAACAATTCGGATTAAATATGACCCGTGGTGGGTTCCTACACACCCAACAATACACGCTAGTTCAATCTTGAATTGGAGAGAAACCTGACCTGTAAAAGAAAACTAGTTACTTGGTTTATTATTATTATATATGTAAACATTAGATTTGGTGTCCAAAGCTCTGAACCTTCTACTTATGCCTTGTGTGGTAAATTTTTATATGTTATGAGAGGACAATTTATGAGTAAATTGGGCCGAGCTAGGTAATGGGCCGTTCTATGGGCCATAGTAAGAAGGGCTTAGTAAGTGGACCGTAGTCCAAGTGTTAGCTCGGTGCAGGTATGGAAGTGACCTAGCAAGGGTTAGCTCGATCCGGGAATAATCATGGTCGCCACGGTCAGAATAGATAGTTAGCCCGGTCCAAGAGAGCTCCGTCGTTAGCTCGGTCACCACACTCAGAGCGGTAATAGTTAGCTCGGTCATACCATATTGATCCGAAGTGTGTTGAGCTTTCCTCAGAACCCTGCTATTGGTTAGCTCGGTCCAAGCTCGTTGTGGTTAGTGCGGTCTCGGACAACCCATTTGGAATATGTCAAACCGAGGTACACGCAGTGAAAGGAAGAACCGAGCTAGTAGGAGCTTGGTCTAGTCTGCGGCTTTAGCATGGCCATGTTATCTCGGTTGTATTGACATCCAAGCATGGTAAAACCATCTCACTTGGTTTAAGCAGTGAGGGGGTGTTGAAGGATAAGCATTATCTTTCAGGAATGTGATTCCTAGGAGGACTCTATATGGAGGAGTAAGAGTCCTACTAAGATTGTGCTACACAGAACCCATAAAAGCTCATAACATCA